TAAAGTACTAAGTGGGGGATTTCAAAATAAATGTCACTACATACATATTATTTTTAGTAACTTCTTTTCATTACATATTTACAATTATTTGTTCTGCCCCTTTGCTAGAGTCTGGGGTCACAGTTCATCTGACATGTATGCCTATCATCTTATATTAGAGTAACTTCATGTAATAGAATTTAAAGCATTTGTGGAAACCTACCACATAAGTATTTCTCTACTACAGGAGGCAGCTAGCTATATGTTGGCTACTGAAAGTTGAAACATGCAAGGGGTAAGTTTCAAAGTCTGAATTGTACAGACCTAAGTGATTGTACATGCCACATGTTGCTTGTGCATAGATCAGTACATGTTTCTGTGAGGCCATGGTTAACACTCACGCACAATTTTTTAAATGACTGTATCTCATCTGTTTCGCATATTTTAAAGTGTTATCTAGTTGATCCAAAGTTTTACTGAAACTTAGATATTAGACACACCTTAGCTTATGAAAAGCGCTCACACAGTAACTATTTTTTGTCTCTGGAACCTATGTTCTTTCTCCATTAGGAACATTCTTAGATTTAAGATAATTGTATTTGGGCCCGGGGAGATTGTATAGTAGGTAATTTTTCCTGCATGTGGCTGAACCAGGTTCCATTCCTGACATCGCAAAATGTCCCCCTGAACACCACCACGAGTCATTCCTGAGTACTGAGGCCGAATTAAGCTTTCAGCACTGCAAGGTGTGGACCCAAAACAAAACAAAACAAAACAAAACAAAACAAAACAAAACCTACAATTGAAAAAAGAGACATCTATGCTTTAGCTCATTTGAGCTTTTACCAGTATAATTCCATAGATTGGGATGTGAATAAGCAACCTAACTTTATTTCCTACAGCTCTGGAGGTTGGACATCCAAGGATTAGACTGCCAGAGATTTAGCTATCTAGCAAGTACCTGCTTTCAGCCTCAAAGGGCACCTTTTTTCTGTGTTACCATGTGATAGAAGGGGCAAGAGATCTTCTGAAGAATCATTTAAAGTCAGCAGGATTCTGCTGTCATGACCTAAGCAGTTTCCAAGACTCTCAACTTCAATACTATCATTTTTGTTGAGGTAGATTTTCAATATCTGAATTTTAGAAAGTGCATAAATGTTTAAATGAGAGCACATTAGATATATCAAGGTAAGTTCATGTTTGGACCATCATTTTATGCAAATTTTCTGATTTAGTATGTTATCTAATGAAAATTAATACAAATTATAATGAATTTTATAATATTTTTTACATTAAAGGTAATGAAAATTACTTCAGGAGGGGATCCATCCATGACAAAAATACCACTCCTAGGCTGAGAACTACAAAGAAGGAAGGAATGAAAATATCTGATTACACAGGAAAGAAAAACAATATGAAAACTTATACTTTCAAAAATATGGAAGGTAAGAATTATGTATAAACGTATGGCAACTGCTGAAAAGTTTAGGTAAGTATTATCATCAAATTTCAAAGCCAGGAAGAATATTGGAAATTCTCAATTTGGATCTCTCTCTATGTAACCATTTTTAATAATAGTGATGTGACACTTGGACACTTGGTGTTCTTTAGGAAGAACACTTATAATAGCAATTTAATTTAAGCAAGTTTCTTATCTATAACCATGTTTGTTTTTTATTTTTCTTTTTTTGGCCACACTCAGCAGTTCTCAGGGATTACTCCTGTCTTTGTCCTTAGTGATCATTCTGGGGAACTATCCAGGGGACCATTTGAGGTGTCACAGACTGAAGTCTGGTACTATCTCTCCAGCCCCAAGGTTTCCTTATCTTTAAAAAAGCAAGAACAATAAAAAATAGCTCTTGAATATACATACTTCAATATTGAGAGATAGACATAGGATGCATATAAGTACCTCACACACAGTGTTTCCTTTTAGTTGTAGGGAAACTGAGGTATAAAGAGACTCATTAGCTTTCTCTGTTCATAACACATTTAGTAAATGAAACTGGGATTTGAAACCAGGTTGCTAAACTGAGTCTGTAGGAGTAGGAGCAGCAAACAGAAAGACACAATACCTAGTCCAGACACTTAATAAATAAAATGACTTCTCTATAAGCAAAGAACTTATTAGTTGCCTGCAAAGTGATTACATCAGCTTCATTATTATATAAATGCAAGCATCACTTGTGCTTGAGAAATATAGGACTTTTAAAACCAAAGATGGGGATGGGGGACAAATACAGCTTTCTAAAAAAGAATCAAAAGGAATCTTTAAAAAAATTTAATTTATGTGGGATACTAGAAACTTCAATTTTAAGACAACATTTAAAATTATATGATATGGGAATGAAGACCTTCCTACCTTTAAGTAATTATTCAAACTGAAGTATTTGAGTTATTTTTTTCATATAGGATTTCAATTTATCAAAAGAAATTTATACTTTTTGGGATTTCTACAAACAGTTTAATTCCTAAGGCATATAAAAGAATTAGCAGGAGATGAAGAAAACCTCATTATTATGATTTAAAAAGAACAGAGATCTGCTTTCAAGACGAAGTAAAATGATAGCATTGCACATTCGTTGCTTATTTTCATTATAGTGGCTGGAGATTTAAATTTATTTATATATTGGATAGTTTTATAAATTATTTTTGAGCATCTCTTACATGTTTGATCTTACGTTAATTTTGGTGAATATAATCAGGAACAAAATAAACATGGTTCTTCACATAGTGCTGAGAGAAATTAATTCCATCCTTAGGGTGTGAAAAACTCTTGAATCTCACACCTGAATCTTTAATCCTTAGGGATCTTATGGACAAACTATTTAAGAATAGAAGTAATTTACTCAGACTTCCTCAGGTATAAAATAGGAATTATAACAATTCTTTCTCAGTAAGTTTATCCTAAACATTGAATTAGTGTTTTCAGGAGTTCTTGACACAAGTCTTAGCAAACACGAGAAGTTCAGTGAATGTTAGTTGTCATTTCAATATAGAGAAAACAATTTTTCAACTTATAGCAATCCAGTTATAAATGTAAAGTACATAATTTCATGTAAAATTAAGTGTTTATTATTTTAATGATAAAAATTAGAAAAACGTGTGACCTAATGAACATGTATTCTTCCTGTGCCCTAAATTCAAGATAGATTTTGCTCCAAACTTACAAGAGTAACTACAACTTTCTTACAACTCACTTCTATATTTTTGAGAGAATGAGAGAAAACTAAGAGAAACACTGGTTTCTTCAGTCCTTACCTACAAGAATTTACTTACAGAAAACCCTAGTTTTTTAAAAAAAGATTTCAAATCCCTAATGAGGCATAAGAGATGTCAGTGAGTAACTGGCATAGATGATGGTCAGTAAAATTTTCCCCCAAAGTATAATGAAACATCAAAAGAATACCTGGAGCACAAGGAAAATGATTTTTACATTTCTTTGGTTTGTTTTTTAGGAGAAACTGGTGTAAAAGAAGTATTTTATCTTTCGAAAAAGATAATATAAAGTGGATTTCTCAAAAGCAGTTTTCTTAATCCCTGGCTTCTTGAGATATTCCACAGCCTTAGGGAACCAGCTGGTTTTTTTCCCCCCTTTCTCAGTCTGGGATGGGTGGGGCGGGAGAAGCTGTAAAAGCTGAGTGTGAGGGCTGCTCTGTGGAAGGTTTTAGTTGTGCTATCACTTCTGTACAACTGTACTCTGCTCCAAGTCATTCTATCCACTTTCTCTTCCTCTGTGAATAGAGAAACTGTACCTTATTTATTTGTAGCCAACTCAGAGATAGTTGTGTGTGGGGGGCGGGGCTAATTATCCTCAAAATCCACTTTAACATAAGAAAAGAAACTCCTGTCTAAATTAGAGTATTCACCTAGAGGTGCAAAAAACAAATCCTCTGAATAAAATGAGTGAGCTGGGCAATGAGCCCCTAAAGACTTAACAGACACGAATTACCCTGAAACCCCATTACCTTCATCTCTTCATTTAGATTTTGAGAAGCTGGGAGATTGGAGCTGGAAATGAGAGGCGATTTTATTTTTCACCGAGAGGGAGAATTAGTTTATGCTGCATTTAGATGAGGTGACAGGCGGTAGATAACCCCGGTCTCTTAGACACTCTAAGAGAACATTATCAGATTTTATCACAATCCCAAATCACACAGGAGTTTGTTACTATTGTTCCTCCGCCCCCTTCTCTGCCCCCCCCCCCCCCATTAGTTCTATTTGAGGAGAGTGGGGAGTTGAGTACAGCTTTTGGGGGGGGGAAAAGTTTCTACCCTGAGCAAAGTGGCCAGGGGCAATTTTCCCACCTGATACTGTGGGTCCTTCGGTTTTGCTTGTTTGTTTTTACCCCACAATACCACACCCCTTTCTTACCTAACCGCTTTCTCTCGGGGCAGGACCAGCCTGCGCTCAGCTTCCTCACCAGTCTCCCTCCTCCCTCCAAGTCTCTGACACCCTAGGGAACCCGTGTCAGTGTTTTGAATCCCTAGATTGCTCCAGCAGTGAAACTAGACAGAGTAGGAGCAAAGGCACCCTGGACCGCAGGCAGCTCTTTGCTTTCTTCTTCTGCGCCTTCCCCTTCCTCTTTTCCCAAATTGATGTGTAAACACATGTATTTTCCTGTTTGAATTGAGCGACTTGGTCCTCTGCCTGTGCCTTGATTTAGCTATTGGGTTGAGCCTTGCTCCTCCCTTCCCTACTCGGAAAGGAGCCACTGGGATCTGGAGCTCGAGCTTCCAAATTGAGGCTGGCCTCAGGCCAGGTGACCTTTTCTTTGTAAGTTTCTTTCCTAATGGAGGGAGGGAGGGGAGCTGGGATCAGTTTGGTGGTGGTGGGGGGTGGGGGGTAGTGGAGAGCGGAGGGGGGTGGAAGAGAGTGGAGGGCTGTTGTTAAACAGTTTCTTACCGTAAGAGGGAGTTCAGACCTAGATCTTTCCAGTTAATCACACAACAAACTTAGCTCATCGCAATAAAAAGCAGCTCAGAGCCGACCGGCTCTTTAGGCATTGAGTCGGAACCGGATTCTTTTCACCAGGCATCTTCTCCAGTGGAACCCGCCAGCAAATCCAGCAACACCATGTGGGTGACCAAACTTCTGCCAGCCCTGCTGCTGCAGCATGCCCTCCTCCATCTCCTCCTGCTCCCCATCGCCATCCCCTATGCAGGTTAGTTTTCTCTTCTTCACTTACAGTTTTCACTCTCTTGCTAGCCTTTCCTTTCCCCAACACTCTGCCCTCTTGCCAGCATCTTTTCTTAACTCAGTATGAACTCTGTGTCTGTGCGTGTGTGTATTTAAAACTTCTTGTGTTTTCACATTCTTTATTGCTGTTTTTTTTTCTGTTTAAAAAAAGCACTAGAAATGATAATTCACATCTCCTCGTATATCTTCCAACCCCCACCACCCGGTCCCCAGCTGGGCTGCCAGAGCCTAATGGTTGTGGACTAGGGGCTTTAGGAATGAAGTGCTGACACTGGTTGGGACTTTGCTGCTTAAGACAAGTTTCACTCTGAACAGAGGATCTTTTCTGAAGAGGGAAGGATGATGGTCAGTAGAGTAGGGTCTAACTCTTTTTTCCAGAGGTCAATTTTCCATGACAGTCTTCTATCCTACATCACTCAGCATTCAGAGCCGGCTTGACTTTATATACAGGTTTTTGTTTGGGAAAGGCAGCCAGTACCCTGTGCATAGGCATATTGTAAAAATGAAAGAGAAATTCTCTCTTCTGAAAGCTCATTCCTTCTGAGTATGGATTGCTGCCCTTTGGAAACAATCCTGCAAGAGAGGCAATGACTGTCTGAGTAGAGCTGCAGGGCTGCTTCTTGGAGTCGCGCACTACACTCCTGAATTTCCAGGTTAGGTACGGGTGCTGCGGGAGTTCACGTTGCCTGAAAGTTTAGACATTTCACTTGGCGCTTTGGGAAGTTTTCTGTGGTTATCGGGGTAAGAGGAAACATCTGTATTTGGTTGTATTATCATTGTAGTGGCTGGGATGCCAGTGGGAGAAGGTAGTAAGCATCATTCACAGGCACAGGGGAGTAAAAGAATGGAACAGATGCCCAGATGTTAAGAATGAAACAAATGCCCAGATGGTTAGACATGACCCTCTGGTGATATGGACTGGAGAGTGGTTGTATATTCTGAGATCAGTTAATTATGAAGTTCAGACTTTCTGACAGAATACAAAGTTTGCAATCTTCTTTGCTCAGTGACAAGAAATCTGATACCAACTACCTGGCTTTCTTCTGTTTTATGAAGTTGCCCATTGGGAACGACAATAGTGAGTGAGAAGGGTCAATTTGAAAATTTTTAGTTAAAATTTCTGAAGAGGTAAAAGGAAGTTGATACAGATCAACAATTACTGTGCTGGATGTGTTACATTAAAATGGAATCTTCAAAGACACTTTTGGTTTAGGGAATTTTGAGCATAGAATGAAATCATCCAGTATTTTGAAGATTTCCTAGTTTAAAGATTAAAGTGCTGTTGGGGTGAAGTAGAATATGGTTATCTGAAATCATCTGTGTTAATGCAAGGGGAACACAGTGTAGAAAACCCAAACAGTAGATCAACTATAGACAATGTCTATTTGTTTTTGGCATGCATTATGAAATTTTGGCAGGAGATATACATTTGTAATTATATTTCACTTTGGCTAATGTTGAAATGACTGCGTTTCCTGAATATAGGGAGAATGCAGCCCAAGAGTGTACTGGCAAGCAAGGAAAAGTCAATTGGGAGTTACAAAAATGTTGTGATTAATTCTTGAAGTGAATGTAGTTAAAATTGTCATCAGAAAAGACCCTGCCTTTGGTGGCAAATTTATTTTGATATTTTATTTTTTAAATAAGGTAAATGGAAGACATAAATAGCTCTCTTAAATCATACAAGAAAAGGATTTATGTTTTATATTATCTAATAGTGATTGTTTAAGATTTTACTTGTTTTGGTTATACTTTTTGATATATTTGATGAACTTCTGTATTTTTTCACAATGTAAAACAAGATGATATTATAAAATAATATTATGATGGATATTATAATGAGATGAAATAAGCTATTTATATTATGGAGATGTAGCATTGAAAAGTTTCCTAAGAAATATTCAGTATCCTGAACTTAAGCCAACTTTGTAGGAGTTGGTCTACATTGTTTACATTCTGTCCACTCCTACTGATACTAAAAAAATAAAGTTCAAATCTCTTTAACAGAAATACCATTAAATGAGCACCTAATTTCTAGAACCACATAGTTGATATGAGAAAGAACAAATAAGAAATAAACCTACATATTAGGATTTGACAAACACATTTGAATAAATGCTAGGAGCAAGTATTTTTTTAAAAAAGTTTTTTTTTGGTAGTAACGTGGGCATTATTGAACTCATCTTGCATGAGGACACCAAGGTGAAAGTCCTTAATTATGCTTTTGTCCTAGTTAAGATATATAGCTGAGTATATATATACACACACCATTTCACCAAAACCAAAAAAATTAACTGCAACTTTACAACTTTTGCCAAATCCTGTAAGGAAACCACTGAAGTTAGGAATGCTATAATACTATGAGAGTTCATTTATAGCTGAAAGGATCAAACAAAGTTTAACCTGTTAGCACTGTCCTCCCATTGTTCATCGATTTGTTTGAGCGGGCCCAGTAACATCTCCATCATTGTGAGACTTGTTGTTACTGTGTTTGGCATATCGACTAGATCACGGGTAGCTTGCCAGGCTCTGCCGTGTGTGCGGGCAGGATAGTCTCGGTAGCTTGCCAGGCTCTCCGAAAGGAACGGAGGAATCGAACCCAGGTTGGCCACATGCAAAGCAAACACCCTACCGCTGTGCTGTCACTCCAGCCCTTTTGCTTAACCTGGTACACAGGTAAAATACAAAAAGATGAGCAGTAGAATTGTCAGCATCGAAGTCAACTGGCTGAACACAAACAAAAAGACACAGATTAAAAAAAAAGTATATTGAGAAAAAAACAAGTAATCTTGTACGGCTGGTGTATAGAGTGCATGAGGGAGAACAGTATTTCTTATGATGGGAAAGGCAGATCAGAGTAACATGCACACATTTGAGGTTCATTCTTAGAACCTGTGATCTCTATACAGATCACCAAGGACAACTACTGAAGCTTTTGAGTTGTCAGGATACAAGACTGAATGGACACTTTATTATGGTTCTTTTGGTGTCTGTGTGGAGGAAGACATGAAAACACAGACACTGAAAGACTAGACCAAGAGTGATGTTTACAAAAGTGAAATATTGAAGAAGGTAATTGAATGAAGGAGGGAAATATCTAGGAATGAGCCCTAATCTCACACTGTATATCACACTTCATTTTGTCAACCTCCTTTGGGGACATTTTTATGTTGCTTCTTATTGGTATGCTTCCCAGACCAACCTTTGATCAAAATATAATATGATTCCCCTTTTTCTTCACATCTTTATTTGTGATATTGTTGTCTTTCCTAAAGGAGAGTAGATGACAGTCCATTTGTGAAATCCAAATCCCAGATAATAATAGCAATGAACATTTGGATTTGTATGTATGATTCTTGTCTTAGGGAAATTTAAAACCTCTAGTCACAACTATTCTCTTCTATTAATTATTTGTATACTTTCATCTTAACATCTTGTTGCTTTAAACTGTTAATCACTCACTATTCATGTAGGTAGGTCACTCAGAGTATGTGGAGCCAGATTCCTGCTTCTTTCCACACCCTGCAAATCCTTTCCTTGCAGGATTTTCCTTTGAAGTCAATGGTTAGTCCATGCAAAGAAGAAAATATATGAGGTACTGAGAGAAATGAGTGTGAGGCAGGGTGGGGAGGGGGAGGGACCAGAGGGAGAAATGTGTCTTTCTTCAAGCACCTTGGTACATTTGACCCTGCTTTCTGTTTGTAGATTTTCTTGAAGATTCTAATGATTTCAGTGCTAATATAAAGGGCTTCAGGCTCTTCAAAAAATACAGCCCCTAGAATGTATTTTTTATAATAGGAGAAAGGGCGAAAGGGTTGCATTTTAAAGTAAAGAAAACATGACAAAGTTGCAGTGATCTCTCACCCTTTGATGTCCTTTCAAAATTTTGTTTATAAACAGTAAAAAAGACCAAAATAGTAGGGAAAAATCTGATCCAAAGATATTTCTGAGTTTCCTTCCAAATTAAGTTGGTCTTTTTTACTGTTTTCAGTAAAACAAGCATCAGTTGCTAATGAATATGGAAGAGAAAGTTGAAGCTATTTTCAGCAAAATAACTTTTATTTTCAGATTTTTTAAAAAATACTTCTGTTTTGAATTTTTCTTTTATTGAAGAACAAATGAATCATATACATGTGTGGATTACATAATGTACAACTAGCTTGAATTTCACATTTTGGAGTAATCAGTCAGTGAGCTAGTAGGAATGACTGAATTATAAGGGAAAGCTTCTAAATCATGAGAAATAGTGAAAGGAGAATCTTGGTATCTGGTTCCCGTTGCCTCTGTTAGCCTAAGTGCCAAACTTTTTACTCCTATTTATTATCTAGTACTAGATTTCTTTGTTTTTCAGAATGATTTTTGATCTTTAGGGGAAAGATTGTGATGGAAAAAAATTTCGGCCAACAAGAGTAGAATGTTTTAAGAGGTATAGCCACACATCAACACATTTCAATCAAACAACTGAGGATCTCTATAATTAAATATCCCACTAACCCTGCAGAGAACCCTTTTGACTAAAATAGTCCTCAGTTCAAGGGATTTGTATTGCATGGGATTGTGAAAAGAAATGAGAGGAATGACCAAGGGTATTTTACTTGATATTATCATTAGTAAAATGCATATATGAAATTAAGATTTGCCTTACATTTTTGAATTTGATTCTTGTGCTCATCTCTCACACTTAAACCAATAATAAATACATTATATACCAGCCCAATTGCAATGGTAATTTTCAGTTTATATAATTTGAGGTATATATTGTATATTACATACAAAGCATGCACATATAAATTATGTGATGATATATATAAATATATATATACATTTCTATTTTGGCAGGAAGTGTTTTTTAGTAGATTTTCAGCTTCCATTAGTTTCTGTTTGTTTCTAAGATATATTACAACTTTCACAGGAATTCAATTGATTATTTTGCAGTAATTACATTTTGTAATTACATTGCAGTATTTAGAAAATAGTGCATTAAGTTTAAAAAAGGACTGGGGTGATAGTACAGCAGGAAAGCTCTTACCTTGCACTTGGCTGAACCAGGTTTTATTCCTGGCACCCTAGATGGTCATCTGAGCACTTCCAAGAGTAATCCCTGAGCCCAGAGCGAGGGATAAGCTCTGAGCACCTCTGGGTATGCCTCCCCAAAAAATAATAAAAGAAGGAGAAACAATTACTAGAGAAGTTTGACTCCTATTCACATGGACCTATGACTAAAAGCAAAAATTGAAAAGAAATATGTTACATTGAATGACTTTTCTCTTATGGCAGTGATTATAGGATAACATTTTGAAACCAAAACTTTGTATATTCATAACATTTGAAATCAGATTGATTTCCAAACATTTACTTAATAATATATTCAGATCTAAAATTCTTTAATTTCAAACAGGAGATAAATTTTATTGTCATTGGAATATTAACATTTTGGGTAATTAAAGTCACTTGGCAAATCAATGATAATGACCAGATTGTCTACCAACATTATACAAGGCATTTGCTTCACACTCAGTAAATAACAAGTTGATAGATTATTTGCATAATTGTGTTTCTATATTGCATTTCTGTTTTGTAAATTATATCTGTCCTTCCAGAACCATTCCATTTTGTTAAATAAAAAAAATTAAAATGAAAGCATTTTATAGATCTTTTAGTACCAATCTTTGGGGGATTGTGCTCTGGAGTTTTACCACGAACCAGGAATTTTAAGGACTTCATGTTTTGTGCTATTTGTTGTGGACTTCAGGTTAGGGTAGACATTAATGAGTAGATGTGTATGTCAAATAAACCAACTAGAGCTAGTGGTTACTGACAAACAGTGTGATGTCATTACTCTGCTTGTCATATTTCTAAAACTTTGTCCTTTTTTCCCCTCTTTTCTTGACACATATAACCACATATTGGACCATCATAAACTTTTTACAATCCAGTCCTCTACCAATACTGCTAGAAACCAGTCACTAGATAGTATTTATAAACCAACTTCTTTAGGAATTCTTAGAAAAAGATGGCATCATAATTAAGAGTGGCAGTTCTGAAGCTTGGTATTTGGGTTTTGAATCAGATGTTGAGTTCATTTTCCCCTAATCAAAAATGCCACTGTCTTAGTTATAGGGTTATTTAAAAGAATTGTCAGGCAGAACAGTACAGTTCTGTTCACTGTAACTGTCTAAGAATTGCAATCTCTTAAGCATTTTGATTCTCATTGTGAAAAGGATGATCACTGTTGAAACTTGGGAACGTCAGTTAAATTTAGAATAAAGTAGCAAGGGTTGTTTTTACTCTACAGTTATCATAAGATTAAGGCATTTAGGATGTTTTAGTTCTGTTTTTGAGGTCTTAAAAGGAGATATTGTACTATCTAGAGGCCTTATAGAATACTTTCATGAAGAAAAATGATATTGCTACATTAAAGGATGAAATTTAACAAACATTTGAGTTAGAGCATTTGGCTTGATTTCAAGATAAATAGTTCAGTGATACTAAGAAATAGTGCTCAAAAGCACAGAAAACATTTTTATAGCAAGTTTGAAGGGCTAAAGTCTGAACCAAATGGATTGCTTTAGAGAACAGTTTAGAAGCATTAATCTTTGGTACCATTTTTAGTGAGAATTTTCTCATCTATCATTGAACTAACTTTATCTAATTTTATTATAATTTACAAGAAGATTTAAGTATAGAAAGAAATTTAAAATTTAATTACAAATCATGGTATGATATGTCCTTGTTACATACTTTCATATATTTGGAGAATATCTTATTCTCCTTAGAGTGAACTCGGTCCTAATTTTTAAATCATCCTTCATTTGAAAGAATGTAGCAGAGTGACTCTACATGACAAGTTACTAGTTTTTGCCTAATTACAATATCCTTCTCTCATTCTTAACTATCTAACTATAATTCTCAGCCTCACTACATCATCACTACACCATTAATCCCCAGAAGTCTAGTATGCCATTAGATAGTTTTTTTTTTAGATGATTCTTGGGAAGATATATATATATATATAGATATAGATATAGATCTATCTATCTATATGCTTGAAAAGTGTTCCCTCTTGTTCTCATTATTTATTTATCTATTATTAGAAGGACAGAAGAAACGAAGAAACACACTTCATGAATTCAAAAAGTCAGCCAAGACTACTTTAGTTAAAGAAGATCCATTATTGAAGATAAAAACCAAGAAATTGAATACTCCAGACCTTTGTGCCAATAGATGTATTAGGAATAAAGGACTTCCATTCACCTGCAAGTAAGTTGTTCTATTATATTCTTTTTTTTTCAAATGTAGCTTATACATTTGAAAATACATCATAATGTATTTTTTAATTCAGTATAAATTACTCTTTTTCTTTTTTATTGCTATTTGGGTCACATCCGGTGATGTTCAGGGGTTACTCCTGGCTCTGCACTCAGGAGTTACTCCTGGTGGTGCTCAGGGGACCATATGGAATGCTGGGAATCAAACCCCGGTCGGCCGCGTACAAGGCAAATGCCCTACCCACTGTGCTATCTCTCCAGCTCCTAAATTACTCTCAAAATGATAAACTTGATGTAATATTTTACCGATTGCAGTAAAAGGCCGACATTTCTCTCTCTAGCATTGTGTATTACTTTTCTCAAACTTATTTTTTTTCCTTTGCAAGAAGAGTGTAGGAATTTTTCAGAATTTAAATTGGGGAACAGCCAAAATTTACTGCAACTTATATCACTGTCATTAGGGATTCAAATAAAAGGTGTTGAGAGAATTATATAAAAAGCTAGTGGATTGTGTCAGCATCAGAGATTGTTTAAAAGAAGCTAGGGGAAAGTGATGATAAAGTTTCAGGTGAAATGGGATAGAGTAATTTTAAGAAGCAGGAGAGGGGACTCAGCTTGCAAGCCTTTTTTTCTCTTCGAAGTCCCTATGGGGCTCACATTGAAGCCCCATAAAATAAAATAAAATGTAAAAATGCCTTTGCTTTGCCATCTGAATATTCTTCTAAACTGCCAGAAGAAAATGTATTTTCTTTTCCATAAACTTCTTCCCTCACTTTCAACTATTTCCCCCTTCTTTCATCCACTCCCCTTTTTGTGTTAAACATGATTGTATGCCTTTTTATAATTTTTAAATGCTGCTATATTATATTTGGGTAGTAACACATGATGTGAATATAAATATTAGTAATGCTCTAAGAGTGAGGAGGAAAGATCATAATCAGAAAAGGTTTTCACAAGATTTGGGGAGAGGATAGACTTATCTCCCTTCTATTTGTTTACAGTTCCTTGGAAGGCGTTTTATAGCCAAACTGCCATTTTCAGGGAAATGTTTTTCGACAAAGGGGATTGGGGAACCGCCTTTGCATGTATATACTGACAATGATTTTGTTTCTTTCCCCTACTTTCTTATAAAATAGCTGAGATTGTTAAAAATAAATTAAAGAAAATTATTCTGTGTAGATTTTTTGAGATTTCTTCTTGAAACTGAATAATTGAATTTATTGAAGTATCTCTTTAGTATTGGAAGTGGGGGGCAAAGGGAATAGGAGAACCAAATCTTGTCCTTAATACCCCTGATTTCCAGAGTTTGGTGGGGGATTTCCAAGCAGTGGACACCCCTGGTGACACTCAGATTAAAGTCCCAGGATATGATGCTGCTTGTGCCCTAAAGTGCTAGGGTCACTAGGGCCACCTCAAGGATGATAGGCTAAGATGCTTGGGTGGACATACAGTGCTTGGGATCAAACCCCTGTCCTATCCGTCTGCTTCCTGGTACTTTATATTTAACTTTAAATGTTAACACATACCTGAATCCACAAGTAAAAAAAGTATTGTTATACCTTAGTTCTCAGATTAATCTAATTCTTAGAATTAAAAAAAGTTCTTTTGTATTATATTTCCTGTTTTGTTTTGTTTTTGATATTTTTGGACCACACCCAGTTTAAACCAGGCTCTGTGTTTAGAACATTTTCCTGGTGGTGTTCAGAGGACCTATAGGATGCTGGAATTTTAATCTGGGCTGGCTGCATGAAATGCGAGTGCCTTAATTGATATGTCTCTCCAGCCCTTCTTTTGTGTTATTTAGGATATACTAAAATAGCGTTGCTGTACTTATTATACATGCAACTCGATCAATACATTTTTTGCATATCTCATGGGTACAATACATTATACTTCAATGACATAATTGCTTGTTATTTTTAGTTTCCAAATTTATGACAACCTGTACTGCAAAACACATGTTAATAATGCCTAAATAAAGGCAATGATCTTTTACCCAGAAATGGAGTCATTTTCCTTTGTCTATCCCAAGTAAATGTACAAATGTACTTTGAATCCATAAAAATATTAGTTACTCATAATTGAAGGTATATGCTATAATACTATAAAATTAGCTTATCAATGAATTAAAGGACCTTTTGCAGACTTGTTTTATGAATTAAAATTATTGAAAACTAATGTCAAATTATAAAAATGCTTAGAAAAGAACAGTAAAATGGTGAAGGCTTCTGTAATTTTGAGAGCATTAGATGTAATATTCTCACTGTTTTTCTTCAGAAGGTATCAATAATATTGAATTTACAGAGATTGAAACAGTGCTGAGTAAGAAAGATAACCAGAATCTCTGATTCTCTAAGCTCTCTAAGCTCTCTAAGAATTGTTAATTTACAAATTCATTCAAGGACAGAAAAGAAAGAGACTTTCCCCTTTTAGTAGTAACTGAGTACTGGTATTGTAATTGCCACCATGCCATAAACAACAAGATAACTAGACAAAATAAATGTTTGAAAGAAAGATCATAAGATAAAGAGTCAAAGTAAAACTTAAAAGAAGATGCAGCTTATGGAATTTGATGGCTTAAATCCAGTTCATGTAGATATAAGGGAGTACTTTACTGGGACGTTTTGACTTTGTGATGGAATGAGAGTAAAAGGTGAATTGAATCAGCATACTGGAAATCTTGTCACCCACATTTCAGATCGCATCAGCTTGCTATTCACAGAGACAAATTGTATATTCTTGATTGGGCTTAGAAGTCACTTGCAAGGCAAATTCCTATCAAAGCCATATTATTCATAGAAAAATAGTATTCATGTATGGTAATACTTAATTTTAATATGAAGATGACTGGCAGTTTATCTTCAGTATCTTAAATTTTCTTTTAAAATATGCTTGATTTTTATCCTACATATATTCATTTTTAATTCTTATGGTTTTATTGTGATTAAGAATCCTCCCCTGATGCCCTATAATAAGAAAATAAGGAATTTATCTTTCTGCATACGATTACAGTCCACGAAAAGAAATTAAAGTCTGTTACTGGTTATTGCTATTTTATCAAGAATTCTGTCTTAACCACTAAAATATATTTTGATGACTTGTTCTTATGTTTAAAGGCTAGTTTACAAATAAATATTCAAAGTATATTAATGAAGCAAAAAGTTTATGAATCTAAGGTTTAAAATTATTTGGGCAGGGGGGCTGGAGAGATAGCACAGCGGGTAGGGCGTTTGCCTTGCACACGGCCGACCCGGGTTCGATTCCCAGCATCCCATATGGTCCCCTGAGCACCGCCAGGGGTAACTCCTGAGTGCAGAGCCAGGAGTAACCCCTGTGCACCGCCAGGTGTGACCCAAAAAGCAAATAAATAAGTAAATAAATAAATAAAATTATTTGGGTATAGAATAAAGTGTACTACATACACAATATAATGGGTAAAGTATTAAGAATAATTTAATAATATATTTTAAGTATTTATTTTATAAATCTAATTTTCCCTAAAACTTATTTGAAGTTGTTAAAATACTAAGAATAGTTAACTGAAAAAAATCTAAAATTACATGAGAATTATATTCTTAAAATACAATTTATGGAATGAAAGAAAAATTTCTTACCATAGAAAATGTATTTTTTTCAATTAGATACTTGTAATAGATGACATTGTTACTAAAATGGACATGGTAAAAAGGTGTTTTAATACTTTTTTTTTTTTTTGCTTTTTGGGTCACACCCAGTGATGCTCAGGGGTCATTCCTGACTCTGCACTCAGGAATTACTCCTGGTGGTGCTTGGGGGACCATATGGGATGCCGGGGATCAAACCCAGGTCGGCTGCATGCAAGGCAAACGCCCTACCCACTATGCTATTGCTCCAGCCCCTTAATACTATTTTTGATGTAATTAATACAGCTTAGACTTCTAATGTCATTCCTATACAGTAAGAAATGGTAACATTTAGTATGTTGAAAAGTTTTTTTTTAATTTACTGTTCTCAGTTTATAGATTTGTGTTTCTATTAGTCTGTTTAGAAAGACTTCTTTTTAGTGAAAAAATACTACATAAAATTATTGTATAGGAATGATAATTGGAAAGTGATATATTTAGTAATTTTCTTTCATACATAAAATACATATTTCAATTCATTTTTATTTACTTTTTGGCTTTTCGACCACACCTAGGACTTTCCATAGATTATTCTTGGCTCTGTACTTGGCTCTGCATATGGGATCATGTGAGGTGCTAGGAATCAAACCCAAGATGGCCAGAGTGCAATCCACTATACTATCTATTCAGCCTGTCAGTTTCGGTTTTAATAGCTGTTAGATATTGATAGCTTTAAAATTAAAGCTATTAAAGCTATTAATTTTCCTGTATAATGCAATTACGCAAGTAAATCTAAGTTTGTGGGCATTAGCTTAAATACGTAGTTCTATATTTAGCAAGATTGTCATAATTATTTTTTGGGGGGCAGGGGCGCAGTTTTGGGTCATACCCTTCAGTACTCACCCTTACTCCTGGATCTGTGCTCTGGAATCACTCCTGATATTGCTTGTGCGACCAAATAATGGTGCTGGGGATCACATCAAGGCTTACTATGTGCTAGGCAAGTGCCTTTACCTCTACACAACCTCTTCAATCCATGTCACAGTTTCAAAGCTTTATATTTATTTCTACAAAATAATATATTATATGCAATTTTGTTTTGGGGCCACATCCACTGGTGCTCAGGATCACTCATGGCTATGCACTGAAGAATCATTGCTAGTGGTTCTTGGGGACCACATGGGACGCCAGGGATCAAATTTAGATGGCCCTGTGAAAAGCAAGCACCCTACCTGCTGTAATATTGCTCTGGCTGTGTATGCACATTTTTATTTCAGATCTTAATTTTACATGAGTATCTCCTGGGGAGTTGATTTTTCTAATGTACTTTTGGACATGGTATTTTAGAATGTTCTTAATAAAGTTTGAAGATTAATAATTAGATTCCAAATATAATCAGTTGTATATAATCACAAAATCTGCCAAATTTCTGTGTACTTAAAAATATCTGAAATATTCAGATACAATCCAAGTGGCTGTGCTATTTATTGATTTTGCTAGTCTAAGCCCTCTTCAGTTATTTAGAATCACATGAGAACTAGAACATTCTAAATAGCATTTGATGCAATATTTAAACAGATATCTACAATCTTATTTTTTTTATTTTCCATAAATTGTAGGTGCAAATATCATACATGTTTTTATTATGTGTATATATATATATATTTGACTCACTTTATTTTTTTGGTTGCATACTTTGTGGTTCTCAGGGACTATTTCCAGTGAGGTACCCACTCACTGGGAATAGTCAGTTACAACTATTGGATTTTGGGTGGGTTAGAGCCCAGGCCTCTCGCATTCAAAACACGTGCACCTAGTCCTCAAGTTATCTCCCCGGCCCTGTAGGGTCAGTTTTCAAAAAACTGTTTAAATAGTATTATTCCTTCTTTTCATTCAGATATTTTTTTCAGGGCTTTTGTTTTTGATAAAACAAGAAAACGATGCCTTTGGTTCCCTTTCAATAGCATGTCAAGTGGAGTGAAAAAAGTATTTGGCCATGAATTCGACCTCTATGAAAACAAAGGTAACTTATCTCCAAATATGTCATAATAATAACTTGGAAAATATATGTAATCTCCTGCCAAACTATTCTTTCCTATGATTTCTTTTATATCCTGAATTTATGTGGACAATCGTTATATTAAGAAAGATGGCATTAAGGTCCTGACTTAATTCTTTTTGTTTGTTTTGGGTCCACACTGAGCACTGATCAGGGATTATTACTGGTTCTGCACTCAGGAATTACTATTGATAGGGATTAGGGAACCATCTGGGATGCTAGGGATCGAATCAGGGTCTGCTGCATTCTTGGTAAAAACCTTAGCTGCTTTCCGATGAAACTGGACCCTCTTGACTTATTTGAGAATGCCGATTTAGCTTAAAGAGAACTTTCCTCAAACTTTCTGTAATTAGATTACCCTTACCCTATTTATTTCTATGGCCAGCTAAGTGGAGTAATCACTTTAGAGAATCTTATTCTGGTGTTGTCCATATTCATTTTAGAAAGTTGTATATCGTGTTTTAGCTTAAAATAATGACCAACTACTTGGAATAATCTGTTTCAGAGAATTTTATTCTGGCATTTTCCATATTCATTTTAGAAAGTTGCATATTATATTTTAGCTTAAAATATTTATATAGTAGTAAATCTTATTTACTATAATATTTTATAATAAGGTCACACAGCCTACCGAATATAACCTGCCCACACGGCAGAGTCTAGCAAACTCCCCATGGTGTACCCAATATGCCAAATACCAGTAACAATGATGGGTCTCATTCTCCTAACCCTGGAAGAGCTTTTAATATGGAAGTCTTTAAAAAATCTCAGGGCTAGGACGATGGAGATGCTACTGGGGCCTGCTTGAGGCAATCGACGAACAATAGGATGGTCGTGATTGTGATAATATTTTAAAGTTAAACAACTTTGAACAACTTTTAGTGTTGACTGCTGATAAAAACAAAATGAGAAAATACTGAAAAATTTGTTGGATCTATTATTAGTTCTATTTTTAGGAATTTAAAAATACATCATTATATGAAACAATTCTAAATTATTCTATAATAATAGTGTTCATTTTAATTTTAATAGTTTATTAATCATACTGTCTTATGTTTAGGTATTTGACAATATATACAGATGTTTCATCATTGACAAATGTTTAATATAAAATTAAGTCTGTTTATGCTAGAAAAATAAGATAATTTTCATATACACCAATGATGCATATCATCAATAACTCATAATATATGTAAGATTATCTACAGAATCTGCAAATGTAGCTCATGGGTTGAGAGTTTGCCTTGCATATGAGAGGCCCTGAGTTCCAATCCAGACATTGTCAGAAAAAAAGACACACTGCAAACTTTTTTTTTCGCTAGTAATTGTACTTACTATTATTTGATATGAATATACAGTTTTGGGGGGAGAGAGATCTCATTGAGCTGAATACATGGTTTGCATGCATGCCAGATGGATTTGGTCCCCAGTAATGCATGATTCCTTGAACACCCCCTGGAACAAACCCTGAGCACAAGCCAGGAGCAGCCATAGGGTACTGTCAGGTATAGCACAAAAACCAACAAAAGAATATATAATTTGTTGCATTTTGGTAACTTTGAAAACTGTTAATTGATGTAAAATTATTATAACGTACATACACAATATTATTGATATAGGAATAAGTTATTTTTATAAAATAACTTGAACTGATAATACATTTTAATTTCACTAATTTAAAAAACATTTTATTAAATAGTTAATACATTTGGACAATTTTTCTGCTAAATTAAATTTGCCTGATAAAATGAGTATACAGACTAATCTAAGTATGTAGGTATGTAATCTAAATACATACTATTCTAAAATATATTGACTAATCTCTGACATAACTCAGTTATGCAGGTGTATGCTCAATAATGAAAACTTCTTAATAATCTTTTTTATTTGGGGATGTAGTGACATGCATCATTTGAAAACATTAGTGGCAGCCTTGGGCAAGAAATTTTATTATTTGAGGAAACATGCATTGATTACATAAAGATTTGAGTAGAATTTATTTCATTTCTATTTTTTCTTTGCTATATACAGATAGTTATAAAATTTTTCTCTACTTTATCTCTGTTAGATTATATTAGAAATTGCATCATTGGTAAAGGAGGCAGCTATAAGGGTACAGTGTCTATCACTAAGAGTGGCATCAAGTGCCAGCCCTGGAATTCCATGATACCACATGAACACAGGTAAGAACAGCATGAAGAAAAGAGGATACATGTGTGTTAGAAATTTTATATTAGTCTTTCAACATAATTTCATAAATCTATAGCTAAATTAACTTTAAATTGTTTTAGTCTGTGGCTTATGTGAATTCATAACTTATTTTTGTTTAATTTGCTTTTGGGGCCATGGTGTTGATGGACTAATCCCAGCTCTGTTCTTGGGGATCACTCCTGGTGGTTCGTAGTGGACCATTCGGGGCTAGGAATTGAACCTGGGCCTCCTAAATGCAATGCTTATACTCTAGCCTATTGAGTCATCTTTCAGAACCATGACTAATATTTAGTCAAAGATTAATTATCATTAAGATTGGCCAACTATTATGATACTTCAAATCCTAAACTTACAGATCTTGCTGAGTGTGTGAGGAGCATACTTAAAATAAAAAAATTCCCCTTCTTTATCTTTGTTACTGTGTCTGGCATATCGAATACTCTCGGTAGCTTGCCAGGCTCTCCGAGAGGGGCAGAGGAATCGAACTTGGGTCGGCCATGTTGGCTGAGTGCAAGGCAGACGCTCTACCCGCTGTCAAGCGGCCAACATGGCCGACCCGAGTTCGATTGCTCCGCCCCTCTTGGAGAGCCCGGCAAGCTACCGAGAGTATTTGATATGCCAAACACAGTAACAACAAAGTCTCCAATGGAGACGTTACTGGGCCCGCTCGAGCAAATCGATGATCAACGGGAGGGCCTTTACCTTTTACCTTTACCTTTATCTTTGAGAAGATACAACAGTCCATAACTGCAGGGAGCACATTCCTAGCATGCACAAGTTCTCAAATTTTATCCCCAGTGCCACAAGTTCCTCCAAAACCAGCGGGTTCAAGCGTTGAGCCATCATATCACCACTGAGGGCTAAAGATTAGCACAAGTGGCTGCTGGCTCCTTTGAGCATTGCCTTGGATGTTGTCTCCAAATAAATAAATACAAGTAAACAATTTTACTAATGGAAGAGAAATATAACTATCGATTACCCACTAAAGAACTATAGCATTAGTTTTTTAAAAAAAATTTTTATTAGTGAAACACCGTGAGGTACAGTTGTAGATTTACAATTTTTTGTGCTTGGGTTTCGATTATACAATGATCAAATACCCATCCCTCCAACAGTGCCCACTTTCCACCACCATGGATAATATCCCTCCCACCCCCATCTCCCCCATCCCACCCTGCCTCTGTGGCAGGGCATTTCCTTTTGTTCTCTCTCTCCTTTTGGATGTTGTGGTCTGCAAAAGAGGCATTGAGTGACAAACATGTTCAGTCCATAGTCTACTTTCAACATGCATCTCCCCTCCTGGGAGGATCCTCCCAACACCCTTTATTTGGTGCTCCCTTCTCTATCTGAGCTGCCCTTTCCCCTAGAATGCCCGCCTGGCCTCTAAGCTATGGAGTAATCCTCCTGGTACTGATCTCAGCTATTCTTGGGTATTAATCTCATATTTTGTTACTTTATATCCCCCAGCTGAATGCAATCTTTCTATGTCTATCCCTCTCTTTCTGACTCATTTCGATTAGCATGATACTTTCCATGTTGTACCACTTGTATGTAAATTTCATGACTTCATCTTTTCTAACAGCTACATAGTACTCCATTGTGTAGATGTACCAAAGTTTCTTTAACCAGTCATCTGTTCTTGGGCACTCAGGTTTCTTCCAGTTTCTGGCTATTGTAAAGAGTGCTGCAATGAACAAACAAGTGCAGATGTCACTTCGACTATACCTTTTTGCCTCTCTGGGATATATTTCCAGGAGTGGTATTGCTGGGTCAAATGGGAGCTCAATTTCTAATTTTTTGAGAATCGTCCATATTGTTTTCCAAAAGGGCTGAACCAGTCGGCATTCCCACCAACAGTGAAGGAGTGTCCCTTTCTCGCCACATCCGTGCCAGCATCGGTTGCCTTTGTTCTTTTGAATGTGGGCCAGTCTCTATGGTGTGAGGTGGTATCTCATTGTGGTTTTGATCTGCATCTCCCTGATGATTAATGATGTAGAGCATTTTCTCATGTGCTTTTTTGCCATTCGGATTTCTTCTTTGAGAAAGTTTCTGTTCATTTCATTGCCCCATTTTTTGATGGGGTTGGATGTTTTCTTCTTGTGGAGAGAACTATAGCAATAGTTTTTAAAGACTAATTTCACAAATAGTTTTAATAGGAATTGAATTTGTTTAAAGAGTTCACTCCAGAGTGACATAGGGACACTGTTGGAAGATCATGGGGGATATTGGTGGTGGGTACAGTAATTTTGAACATTGATATCATAAACCTTATCACTATTCTAACAAATTTAAACATAATAAAAATAAATGTGTACAATTATTTTAAAAAGAGAAAGTTCCCCTGGAATTGGAGAGAAAAGAGAAAGTTCCCCTGGAATTGGAGAGAGCGCATGCAGGAGACAAGGGCTTAATCCCTGGTACAAATAAAACGCCAAGCACTTCAAGTGTCCCATAAACATTGAGTCTGGAATAGCCTTGAGCTTGCTGTATGTAGCTCAAAAGCCGAAAATGAACAGCTCCGTATCACCCCCCACCCACCCCAGGTTATTAGATATGTTGGAAATTTTTGTTTATCATATAACAAGTGTCTTTCTGGACAGTTTATTTCATTCAATTTTCTAAAAAGCAAATAGTAGGTGTTTATTTTTCAGTTCTGTTTTATGATATGAAATTGATGTATATGAAACCTTTTCAAGGTCATGCATAACTAGAACAGGCATGAAGTTTGAGTTCATCTAGTGACACTAATATTTACACAAAAGGTCTGAAACATGTGGACTATAGTAGAACCGTCTTATGAGATGTTTATGCAATAGGGATTTGATGGCTTTTGTCTTGATGAATCTATTTTTTCATTCCACCTCCTTAATTTGGTAGGCATAAATGTGCAAATGTTTTTTTCTTAACTAAAAAGAGGTGAAATATTTCACATACAAAGAGAAGAGTTGGTTGCTCCAGATTGAGATCAATCTTTTCCTAACACCAGTCAGTCAATGCTCAAACTGATCCATTTTATAGTTTCGATTAAAAAAAATCTATCTTATTTTTACAGTCAGTCACTGCCAATTCTACATGAATAACTCTGAAACATAAAATTATCCTTATATTACCGAAACAAAAAATAAAATTGTTTTTGTTCTCTTCTAAGGACTTGCATGATATTATTATTCTTATAATGAAGAAAACATTTTATTTAAATAGATAGATCTAAGATTTTCATGAACAAAGAAAGTACTGCAATCTATCTGATGCCAACAAGGATAGTGCACTGGACTGACCCAGTAGAGGTCTTATTTCAACCTAAATTCTCTATGATTGTAATTCTCTGCTAGAGGACTAAATGTGAAATAGATCTCCCTGGGAACTGGCCTTGCAGTCCAATCAGTGATTTTACCAGCAAACATTTCCTTGTGATAGAGAGGTTTGGGGTTAAAATGTACTTGTATATTAATCATTCTTTTGGTATTACAGGCAACCAAATTTAATTTCTGTCAATTAGATTATATTTAAACACCAATATGATAATCAAATCCTTTTAAGATAAGACAACTTGGTCAAAAATTAACTTTATGTTAAGTGGTAAAAGGAAATGCATCTCAGTCTAGTGGAGTGATTTATTGTTGACTCCCTAAATTAAAATATTTTACAAGTGGCTTAATGGGAATATGATGATAGATGGCAAAATTAGTACAGTAGCTTAACCAGAAAATCAGGTGACCCGATATCTACATCTATATCCTTCAGTGGCTTCCTAGCATTCATTAATGAAGCAGATAATGAAACAGGTCAAGTTTCCTATGAACATAGTTTATATTAAAATAAATGGAGTCAAGTACACAGATCCAATTTATATTTCAAACTATACTTGTATGCAACTCAATTTTAAATATTTCTTCATGCAGCTCTCCTAAAGTCTTGTTTAGAATGACAAAGAACCAAAACAAGTTGGTATGTGAACATAATTTCATATAGAACCTATTGAGTTGCATATGACCTATAGTACCAAATTGTAAGTGTCGTTTCAATGAAAAATATAGGTGAAAATGAGCAGGGTTATTCTTCATCTTTTGGTCTAGTATTATTAAAGAAAAATAAAAGTAAACACCTTAGAGAACAAAGGACAACTAGGTAGTTTGGGAGAAATTTACCATAGACCAAGAAGAGATATTTCAAACTGCTCTTCTTGTAGAATACAGAGCAAGGTGCATAATTATGGGAAGCAACATATCCTTTCTTTTCATTTTTTCCATTTTATTAATTCCAGCTTTATTCATCTTTCAGCCATATCTAGCTTTAATTTCTATTTGTCTGATTTCCTTTCTACTTGTATTTTTCTTACTAAACCTTTGATTCATTCATTACTTCTTCACAGCTTCGTTTTGGCTTTACAAATCCACTGGAAAGGTATTTGTGTACATTGTGTTTTTCTGCTTATATATGTGTGTATGTATGGAACTATTCTCTAAAACTTAAGATATTTAATATGTGCTAAATTTGTTATTAAATAAATACAGAATAAGGAATCTTATGATTTACACCACTTATTTTATACATAAGGAAATTGAGAACTAGAAATAAATAGTCTTAAGAGCTATATTCACATACTATTAGGCAGTTCTTACAGAATAGCAATATAGAGTTTGTAATTACAAACAACTTATTTCTACCATTCCATTATGTCAAGGTTTTCATAAAAAGAGTTAAACTAGAATATTCTTGACTAACTTTGATAAATTTATTGGTTTTTGAAAAAATCTAAAATAAAAATTTTGATTCTATCAGACAAAGCAGTATTTTATTACAATCTTACTGTGAAAAAGTTGTAGAAATGGAATAATGAAATGCAAAGTTTAAACAATGATACAAAGAAAAATTATTCTATAATCCAAAATAAAAGAGTGAAATTCTGAAATAAAATACTAGTGAAATAAGATAAGTATTCTCATTTTTTCCCTGAAAACTTTAGAAAACTTTAGAATGTTTATGATAATAGTTGCCATTAAAAAAGTATGGTTGGCAGTCTCTTGGAATTAACTATGTATTTTGGGCTGATAACATATGTCATGAAGATTTACCTCTGATATAAATTTAAACTCAAAATAAAAAATTTCATGTAAAATGTTGTTTGGTAGCTAATTCATGGTCTGTTCATTTTATGTTACATCAGAAAGACAAATGGTAATTTCTTAATTATAATACCAATGGGTAAGTTAAATATTTGAATGGTGTGTATTGTTACTATGATGTTTGCATTTTACTCAAATATTATGTGGAGCTCAGAGAAGAGTAAAACTGGAAATAAAAATTTATAGCAAAACTGAACTGAATATTGAACCACAACCAGATTTTGAAAAACAAACAAACAAATGTTAGTGTTTGCAGGCCAGGGAGCTAGCTTAATGGTAATGGGTTAGAGCAATTGCTTTGCATACAGAAATCTGCTTCATTCTCTGGCATCCTGTGACTCTTAAACACTGCCAGGAACAGCCCCTGAGCACTGAGCCTGGAGAAGACCCTGAACAAAATTGGCTGTACCCCAAACAAAAATAAAAGTTCTAGTGTTACATAGCGGACAATTGCATCATCACAAGGCCAATCCCACAAATAATACAAATAATTTTTAAAAGTTGTTTTTTCTGATATGTTGCTGATATTCTTTTAAGCTGGTGACAGAACTATAAGTAGGATAGTGGAAGTTTTAAGTGAAGGAAATTTATTGCATGGTCTAGATACGGCCAATGACTTGCTATTATGAGACAAGCCTAGAAGTACTAACAACTCCTAGGCATGGTCAAATATTAAAAACTTTAAAATAAAGCAATTCTTTTAATACCATGGTAAAGACAGCTAAGCAGTGGGGCTGGGGAGATTGTTCAGTGGGTAGAGCAATTGCCTTGCACGTGACTATATTAGGTTAGATCCCAGTAACCCCATATAGTACCCAGAGCCCCACCAGGAATGATACTTGAGCACAAAGCCAAGAATAAGCCCTGAGCACACCTTAACTCCAAAAAAGATGAAGCAGAATCTATCCAATTAATTGATATTATTTTTTTAAGTGTTGATTACTCTCAATCCTTTTGAACTTCTTAAAACAAACATATAATTTGAACATGCTATAAATTATGGTTTATGGTAAAATATTAATTATGGTAAAATCATATACAAGTAAGTGAATACCGTGAGTAAGAGCTTAAATTACCTGCTTTGGTCTCCAGTTAGTAAGTAAAAGATCTGAAATATGAGGCCGGGTTTAATTCAATTCTAAATTAGTTTGTTACTTCATCAATCTTTGTCTCAATTGTGAAACAAAAAGGGAAATATTCCTCATTAAGAAAGCAATAAAGAAATAAGTGTTTGTCTGGATAAGCAGTGTAATAGTGAGATTTCAAGACTGATCGCTGTGTTTCTTCGTTTTTCTCCTCAGTGACCTTGCTCAATTATTTGTTGCTTTTGTGTGGAACTTTCCAATTGTGGTTCAAACTATGTTATTTAAATTCTAGAATGATTGGATCTTAGCAAATTCACAGTCAAATCATTCTCAATGATGGAAAATAATGGGAATTCTGTTAAGTGTTTATGAAACTGAAGTATGTTCAGGATGAATGGTAATGAGAAATTTCAAGTTAGATTATGTGGAAGTCTGAAATAGAATAAAGGCTTTCTCAACAATCAGGAGAAATAGACCAACTACATAGTAAACTGATAGGCCCCAAATAAGTTGCATGCTCTTATACTGTAATGATTATCATTTTAAAACTAGCTTTTTGCCTTCGAGCTATCGGGGTAAAGATCTACAGGAAAACTACTGTCGAAATCCTCGAGGGGAAGAAGGGGGACCTTGGTGTTTCACAAGCAATCCAGAGGTACGCTACGAAGTCTGTGACATTCCTCAGTGTTCAGAAGGTAAATGAACCTGAATGGCGTGGGGGGCACTCTGCCCTCTCATTTTGTGTAGAACTGCAACTCCCTTGAAAGGTTAACAAAAACTAATCACAATAAATATGCTGTTTATTCAAATGCAACTATAGATACTTATTGGAACATTTTTACTTGATGTTTTGGAAGCTCTCATCAGATTAGTGCAAAATGAGGAGCAAGTTATCAGTATGAACTGCCAATAGAGCTTTGAGGCATCCCTGGGGGAAGAGTAAATTTTTGGGTTCCTCCTCCACTGTCCTGAGCTCAGATACCTCAAAATCTGCTCCATGCAGTACCCAAAGGAGCCAAATGAAATGTAACCTTTTGTGAGTAATGTAAATTCCACTCATCCAACACATGGTTTGGCAGAAATTTTTATCAAACCTATTCTGAGGAGGTGTGGCAAAGGGTCTAAGGATCCTGAAGAGAACTCGTGAGTTGGGAACTAGATACCTACCTCAGTGTGTTTGGGTGAAAATTGGACTAAAACTAACTTTGATACATAGCCTGGAACTGAATACCCTTTAGATGAGTATCTGAAGAGATCAAAGCAGTTGTAGATCCCAAGCTGTTTTGAGGGAAACATGCGTGTCTCTTTTTACATCCTTGCACAGCAGCACAAACGGGCATTTCCCTTGCTTTTGCTATGGATGACTTAGAGAAGCAACCATTTCTGCATTGTGTGCAGTTTTAGTGTTCTGAGACATCTGGCTACTGAATAGTCTGGCTTTTAAATTCCCTCAGAAACTAAAATTCTCAAAGCCAAATGAAACAATGATTTAATTCTAATAAAAATTTTAATAGAATTTTGAAGTACTTGGGGGTCGGGAAGGCCACTGGAATGTTGCCCAAGGTTTGTACTAAGATTTCTTACCTGTTTGTTATTAATTAAATATTTTTGGAAACACTTTCTTCCATAACATTCATTGAATGTTAGGTTGATATTTATCACATAAACAGAGTCATTGTCAGCTAATTGTCACATAGAAGGTGAATTTGTTTTCTGTTGTGAGTTAATTTAAATTTCTTGACTTCATGTGCAAGAGCCAGCATCATGTGTTTGTAAATTCTTACTTTCCATTTCTTATCATATTCTGTTTGCTATTAAGTTCTTCATTGTTTTTCTCTTCTTTTAAAAATAATAAACTGATCTGTGATAACATTATGAACAAGTCTGTTTTGTATGAATAAGTCTATCATTAATGCTTGTCTTGAATTTGCACACTGAAAAATAAAAACCCTCATTTTAGGGAATTCCCCACTATCACAGTTTTCTAGAAGTTCAAAGCCATTGACCAGGCATTTTGTTAATTGATTTTGTTTGAACTGATAAAGTTTTCAAGGGCAGGTAACTTGGTCAAACTTTACATTATCTTCTATTCTTGTGAAAATGTTCTTTTAAAAACCCCTGCTTTATAAGAATAGCCTTCATCAAAATACAATTACACAGATCAGAACTGATAGGCAATGCAGAATAAACATTCTAGGGGAAAAAAATGTAATCAGAAGCATCCTATTTCTAGTAATCCTTCTTTCATTAGAATGTACATCTTTAATATCCTATAATAATTTGAGGTCATTGCACTCACTTAGAAAAGGGCATTGCTTATTAATATTAATGGCACATGATGTTACTGGTCACCATGGAACTGCTAAAGGTTACAGATATGTTCTTTCTGGAAACAATTAAAGGTCTGACAGTAGAATAACCTCTTGCAAGAGAAGTGAACCAGCACAGACCCTCTAGAGTAAACATTATGGGTGGTGTGAATGGGGCTGTAATATTTAAATTCATGTTCAAAGACTGATGTCTTAAACAGGATCTTAAGGAAAAGAATATAAAACACAAATCATTGCTCATACATCAATGGAGAAACAGAGCTCTATGGAAAATGGATAATACATAAAATATAAATTAATATAAATTCCTATTAATGTGTACGAGAGAAACCTCAAAATTCAGCATGGTGAAATATGATGATGGATGAGCCATTTTCATTTGTTTATTTAGTAGCAATTTTATAAGGCTATATCTTTATGGATGAGATAGCAATGATTAAATAATTTTCTATATTTAAGTTAAACAAAAATGCCTGTGAGCAAACATTATATATATGTACATTTAATTTTTGTGCCTATGTGAAACTGCTGGCTAAATAAATATTTGGGATTTATCTGAACTTTTGGTTCATGAAAAAATGCGATTGATATTCATTGATTAATATTATTTTCTTATGTCTTAAACATTCAAATTTAGTATTAAGTTAATTTGGTTGATATGATGGGAAAGATGTTCAATAACTCTGCTTGTTTCAGAATTCAAGTATAGTTTTTGTAGTTTCCTACTACTGTTTATGCAAGCACTCTTTTTTCAAAAAGAAAGTAAATAGAAACATTTATTTAGTTTGAGTTTATGTGATCTGAAACTGCATTTTTCTTTTTTTTTAAGTGGAGTATTTCCTGGAATGTATAAATTATTTGTTGACAATAGTAGAGCAAACCAAAGAAAACACAAAAGCAAGAGCAGTCATTATACCTTTGCTTTGTTCCTTACATTATACTTTCATATTTGTGGAACAGATAAACTTGGTTTACTCTTATATTGATTGACTTTGAGCTAAGAAAACTGGAGGATTCTCAGAATACTTGTGAGGTAATTTCAATTAACAACCTGATGGTTTGATGCTATGGTGAAAAAATAAAAAGCCTTGTATCAAGTATCCAAGCTAGCTGCTTTCCACTACCTCTTTTCTCTGTTCTGCAATGGGTGAGAATCAACAGGATGGAAACCTACTATTGGAAACCAGAAAACAGAGGGTAATGGAGATGTTGAAAAAGCAAAGAAGTCAACTTTCTAATATTATTGCTGAGTCTACCATTAAGACGACCAGTTAAAATGTCTAGGAAACAAGTCATAACCTATAGGATAAAATTGCAATTAGGGAGAAAGAAAAGAGCACTGGACTGTGAGTCAGAAGACCTGTGTTCCAGTCACAGGTTTGACATTTTCTGGCTTAGGTAAGTTCCTTAAAATGTTTTGGAGCTATGTTTTTCTCATTGCAAGGATCAAATAGTTTCATGTATGTTAAAAGAAGTGAATAATGAAAAGGATATTTAACTATCATATGTTTAACATCTCAGTCCTATCTCAGGAAGCATTTGTTCCCCCCCCCCAATTCCTTTCATTCCCTTCCAAATCTAACATTATTCTTGCTAACTTCTATATTTTTCTAAGCCTTGTTAGGTTCTACAATTGCATCAACAATTTTCTCTTCACTTTACTGTAGGTAAAACGTACTATTTTCAGGCTGTGGTACCATTGTAAGGTATTTTGCCTCTTACAGATAATCCAACTCATCCATCCTTTAAGGGTCAAATGAAATATATTCTCCCCTAAAGAGTTTCATTGGCAAACATTTTAGACTTTTAGAATAGAAAAAAATTATCTGAAACTCAATACTCACCGCTATGTCCAGGAACCAAGAACCATCAACATCCCCCGGAAGGTTGTCATTCATACCCCAGCCTTGATCTGCTGAAAAACAACTCTCCCTTTAACAAGAGTGTGAAGTGAGTTTTATCCATCTTAAAGTTGGAGAAGCAACAATTCTACCATATTCATTCTGGAAAGTAGTCATTTTACAAGGACTTGCTTCATTTGTGTGGTTATTTTTTTTATAATAATAAAAAAACCTCCTAAATTCAAGGGAAATTTTTATAGCAATTGCCCATAGCACAGCTTTTCTGAAAGTGATTTTATTCAATTTCATTGTGAAGAAATAGAAATAACTGCAGTTGTTGAAGGAAGCAAAGCAGGTAGATTCTGATTCCTGAGGGCTATACAAGGTTAAAAACTGTATGTTAATACTATTTCTGATGTTGACTATTTTACTTTTTAATTTAATACAAAGGATCAAAGAATGATAAAAGCCACATCACTTTCTCAAACTCTATGTTCTTTTTTTTTAAAACAAACAAACAAACAAACAAACAAAAAAACAAAAAACAATACCTAAATAAGACCCTACCCATTTTAATTCAGAGGTGAAGGATAATGTGTAACTTATATTGAGTGTTTCATTGTGGAATCAGCTTTGACTAGAACATTATGTCAATATACTCTTGAATCTCTCCTCTATGCAGTTCAGAAACTGATCGTCATGTGAAAGATCTCAGTATCAAATAAGGGGAAGTCAAATTAGATCGTTTGTCTAGTTTATAGATTATATAAAAGCAGTTAGATGGATTGTTAAATGGTGTCAAATTTCAAAAGATAATGCCCTATTATAGTATAAAAACCAAAGCTTCAAAAGTGATTATTTGAATATTAGATCCCAAATAATTACAGATACTCACTCAATTAGATTCTGGTGGATAACTAAACAATTGATATCTTTTCCCCTTTTCAGATAAGGTTATATGGACAGTAAACACCAGATACAAATGATGTGTTTGGGGAAGTTTGCCGGATTTGTAGGAAAGCCAAGCAATGATTTATTCCACAGGATGCCTGCAGCACTACAAATCAACCTGTCCGCTTGAGAAGTCTCATTTTCAGCTAGTTGATATAATTCAGAATTTTCAGTGTGACACAAGAGTCCAGCCAGAAAGAACTATTAATTAACCTCATAGAATCATCAGTAAGATCCCGGATAATTAGATCAGCTTATACATTTTAAAAACAGTGAGTATAAGGAGTTCAATAGCAGGTCACCTTCTAGTTTAAGTGAGATAAGAATATAAGCTTGACTACCTATTGAATATGGATGTTCACTACCAGAAAGGAGTCCCAATCTCTCTTAGAATTCCTCTGTTCTTTGAAGAGTACCAGATTTCTTATTAAAGTTGGTCTCTCAAATCTATTTTTTATGATATTATATATACTTATTTTTAAATCATAACTTTTATTATTTGGGAGGGTAAGGAGAGGAGCAATAAAAGGAATATCAGTCTTCTTTCTTTTCTTATTTTCTAAACCTATAAGGGGAATGTCTCCAAGGGTCAAACTTAGTGTTTCTAGGTAGCTTTTGGACACTTACTGCAAATTTAGATAGGCAGCTTCCTGACTCTCTGGTAAATCTGAGTGACACTAATTATAAAAAAATCCATTAAAGTAAATTAAAAGTTCTATGGGGAGTATTTTATGCCACTATTTATGCGCATTGGGCCCTAATATAAAGTTAAAGCGGTACGTAAGGCTTTTTAAAAAAAATTCTCTTTACTAAACAGGTGATTTACTGTTCTTTAAATGGAACAGTGGTGTTCTTGATTTTGCTGTCAGAAGCAATTAACATGCCATACTTTAATTTTATTAGTTGAATGCATGACCTGCAATGGAGAAAGTTATCGAGGTCCCATGGATCATACAGAATCAGGCAAGATTTGTCAGCGTTGGGATCATCAGACTCCACACCGGCACAAATTCTTACCAGAAAGGTAAAACATCAAAAATTATTAAAAAATGATTTTTTTTGTTTAAAACAGTGTTATGTAGTCTATGACAAACTGCCATGAAATACTTCTTTACATGATAATTTTTATACATTGATGAACATAAAATTTAGAATCCCTTGAGTATTTGGTTTATTCCAATAATATTGATGGACTCAAGATGTTGGAAAAAAGGAGTAGAGGGAGATATATGCAAGATAGATATTGGAAGCTGGTTTTTACTGGCTAGATAAAAATCTAAGAAATCAGGACAGTTCTGAACACAAAACCATTAGAGTTGTACAGAACCGAATCACTAATGGAAACTTTCTCTTTCTCTTCCACAGCAGAAATAACACCCTTTGGGTAATGATAACTTTGACAGCCCAAGCTGTAGGAGGAGGCATTGTTGCTGAATTCAAACTAGTTCCCATCTCTCTCTCTCTCTCTCTCTCTCTCTCTCTCTATTTATTTTGGGTGCATCTAGCAGTACTCAGGGGTTACTCCTGACTCTGCCCATAGGAATCACTCGTGGCAGATTTGGGGAACCATGTGTATTGCCAGGGATTGATCCAGGGTTGGTCACATGCAAGGCAAGCACCCTACTTTCTGTGCTTTCTTTCCAGCCCCCACCATCCCCTTTTAGAGCCACTAATTCGGTGACTTAGGTAAAGAGGGGTCACATATATGACACCATGAAAAGGTCATGCCCATAGAAAGGGAATGAAAGATTGAACCCGTGATTCTTTTGATGCTATACATAAGTATGTTTTGAAATTGTCAATCTAAAGTCAGCCAGGAAAAATCTTCCTAAGAGTAAAATTTGAGTTTAAGTGGCTAAAAATAACATGTCCTTTTATTTTAAAAAATAATGGTTAACCATGAAAATAGTGCGAACTCTACTGTTCTTTGGAATTTTTTTCTGTCTCTTTTTTCCCCCCTGCCATTTGCTTGTTGATTGTTCTAAGTAAAATTACTACCTAATTTTAAAGGGCATCTCTTGTCTTTTAAGTGAGAGCAGAAAAGGATATGGTAGCAATTAAAATCAAGTCACCAATTCACAACTTAATTTAAACGGAGTGTGTGGGGCAGGAGGGGAGAGAAAGTTGTATGTTGGAGTTTGTCTCTTGCACTGATGGTGGAGGGGAGGGCATGACCTAGAAAGGTTCTATTTCCAAAATTGAGCTCTCATTAGTAACAGAGCTATCGAAACTTAACTTGCAGTATGAACTTTAAGCCTGCCTGAGAAGAGAATTTATTTTGTTAATGAGTGTTCTACACAGTTGTGTTTACATAATTTGTCCTAATTGGACCTTTTGAGAAGGGAGATGGTTCATCTCGTTATCACAACTGGTGAACAGGTACCAAAGTATCCTAACTTACTGGTAAAGGGGATGCTGTTTGAATTCCCAGGATATATAAACCCATGGATTTTCTAATTAGTGATTAGCTGTCCATGTAAGGTAAAACAGGAAACTTCTTTCCACAGTTTGTAGTATCTGAGCTAAGTCAAAAGTTATTTTGTGGGCTGAAGACTGGGTGGTGTTTCCAGGCAGATTTACATGACACTTTTCTTGGTGTGGTTTGCAGATATCCTGACAAGGGCTTTGATGATAATTATTGCCGCAATCCTGATGGCAAGCCGAGGCCATGGTGCTATACTCTTGACCCTGACACCCCCTGGGAGTACTGTGCAATTAAAATGTGCGGTAAGTTAGGGTCAAATTTATTGCTTCCTTTTCCTCTACCAGACTCGATCTTAGCAGGCGATTATTAGTGAGACAGGTTAACAACTATTTTACTTGATACTTTAATGTGTGTAGGTTTTAATATTTTAAAGAATGTGTTAGGTAATCCTACACAGTCTTTTGAATTTTCACAGAACCATTATTTAAAAACAAAAATATTGTAGTAGACACATACATGATTAGCAGTTTTATTTTCGATAAAAGCCTAAACATTTATGCTATCAGGAAAAAGAGAAAAACTATCCTCAGTGAGAGAAAAAAAAATCAGAGGGTACAGTAATATGGTATCATTAGAACTGTAAAAGTCAAGACCTTAGATTCTTACCCTTGATTCTTTCTCCTTTCACTCCATTTTACTTCAGTGTCATAAATGAGCTGTCAACAGACTGTGAACCTCTTCTGGTGAATGACAGAAACTCCAGTGGAAAATATTAAGTCTAATATAAGCTACTAATGGTCAGGTTTAATATTTAAGAGCTGAGCTCTAACTCTCTGTTTGTTCTCCTATGGAGTCTTTCTATTTAACTGTTTTGGATTTTTTTCTTTTTGTTTATTTCCAGCTAAGCTCATGGCTTACTCCTTGCTCTCTGCTCAGAATTCACACCTGGTGGGGCTTGTTGATCCATATAGAGTGTTGGATAACAAACCTGGATGGGCTGTGTGCAAGTTCAGCACCTTAATTCCCTGTACTATCCCTCTGGCAACCTCACTTGGACTTTCAGCAGTCCTACAATCCTTTACCTAACTCTCCCCAGCTGATCATTAATAAGCTTTGCTCATTTGCTTTGCTGGATCCCTTTAAATCTGTATAATTGGTATTTCCTTCATGATTATTTCACATAGTGCCATTCTCTGTCATAATACTGGATATTAATTAGAGATACACTTTTTATTTCTATGAGTAGAATTCATTTTCAACTAGATTCTAAAATGCCTTGACTAGTAGAATTGCATATAAAATAATAGTGTTATAAATTATCTGGATATTACTAAGATAAATGAATACAGAGATAATATTTAAACACAACTGTGTAAGATCAATACAGCACCCAGAATGGGCAATTATGAGAACACGTGGCTAAGTATAGGTGTATTTATATTTCCCTAGAACAGGGATGAGGAAACTCCTTTGAACAGACATATTTGAGCATTAGCCATATTCTGCTACTCCTCAAATGAATTTCTCCCCATTTAGACCTGCTAATAAAAGAAAATGTTTTGGACAACTCAAATCACGTAGTAAAGGGATATGCCTGGCATATGTGAAATAGTGACAGAATCTGGAAGGCTCTCAAAGTGAACACAGTGTTCTAGGGAAACTGATTCATCTTTTTTGTCCTTTAAAATAAAAGATAACTCCTATTACATATTTCTCTGCAAAGACTGGTTTAGATCCACTTATTGACTTAAAATCTTGATAATTGTTTCATTATTCTAGGCTATTTTGGTGTCACAAAACAATTGTTTTCTTTCCACTTGTGTGCTTGCATATGTTTGTGTGTGTGTGTGTGTGTGTGGTTTGTTAAGTATTCTTTTCAATCAGCTGTGGAATTAGACCCGAATAAATATACACCCCCTTTCTTTATAAATATCTTCCCCAGTGGTCACCTTTCAAATGGCAGATTGACACTGAAAAAAAGTTGCATGCTAGTGTCTCTTTTTCCTAACCAACCTATGGCTACTTTTAGAAAACATTTGGGAGAGGTGGGAAAAAAGTGCAATAAATGTGATTTTTCCGACTATTAAGTAGTTCCCAATCTACAGAGAGAAATTGGCTAATTTTGCAACAAACATACTAAAATTCTTTAGTTTTGTTTCCTATTCAGAGATGTTTTATGAGTGGGAGCTTTCCTAGATCCTGGGATAATTCTATCTATTTTAAACAGAAAATGGGATTATAGGATATTAAGTTCTAAGAAAATGATGTTGGAATGTGTGAGCTAAGTCTCTGTACTTTATATTAAAATTATTATTTTCCCTTGGTTACACATTTAAAGATGGTGCTTGGGAAGAGGCTTCCAGTTATGTGCTGACAGTGTGGTGCTGGGGACTGAACTGGGGTTCCTCATACACCAGGCAAGCACCTAACTCCTATTCTAACTTTCCGATCCAGATAAATGAACTTTTAGTAACCTTTGAGATTTAAGAATAACTTAGAAATTTCATTATAGAACAGTATTTAATTTGTAAAATTATATAAAGAAACCAAAGTTTTATTAAGTTAATGAAACAGCACTAACATCTTAGAAACTTGGAAAGCATAAATGATACTGTAAGAATAGTTTTCCTCTTGGTTTAGTATGCAGCAAAACTTATCATTTAAAATCAAGTAATTTGGTGGTGGTTTCAACGGTGTATTCCTTTTCTATTGCTTTGTAATTAATTACTAAAACTCAATGGCTTAAAACATCATGCATTTATTATCTCCTGGTGTCTGTGTGTCAGCGCAGGTGTGTTCTCTCCTTAGGATGTCACAGGCTGTGATCAATTCTCCACCACACCAGCTGTCGCATCTAAAGCTCAGCACTATATCCAAGTTCTCCAGTTGTTGGCAGAATTCAGTTTCTTGTGGTTTCAGTGCTAAAATCCTAAAATCCTAGAGGCAGCCTGATAGTTCCCATCATATCACCATCATATGGTCCTATGTTCCCTCAAGGTCAGAAAGGATAGCTTTCTATTGCTTTGAGCCTCTAATCTCTACAACTCTTTGAAATGACTCACCTAGGTTTTTCTTTAAGTAATTTAAAATCAATTGAAATATCTTTTCACTTTTGTTGTAAACAAAAAACAACCATAAGATTCTTTACCCCACAACCCCTCCCCACTCCATGTTTACAAATTCAACCCTTACTCAGGGCATCAGTTGAAGAAAATCTTGGGAGTCGTATTAGAATTTTGTATGCCACACCTATGTTCCTATGTTTATACTCCCCGGTAGTAACAGAATATTGATTTTCCACATTTTTTTTGTATTATTAGATTCTAGGGTGACCTTTGTTGTTCTCTCTTAACAGTAATAGCTTGCATTCATTCTGAGACTTTAATATATTTGAACAGAGTTGATAAATGTGTGACTTTATCTCTTTACAGTGGAAAAGAATTTTTTTTAAATTGGTTTGACAACCCAGTGATGCAAGGATGGTAGTTTAGAGACTAATATTTTATATTTAATAATATTCTAATAACATTTTCATTGCTGAAAATATTCTGCCAGAAGGTATAGTCTAATGGTTCAGCCTAATGGTTGGGCCTGACAGTGCTCAGGGTCACCAAGGTTATTCCCAGAGGTGCTCGGTTGTTTTAGTTGTTTCCAAATATTTGTTATTATTAACTAGTGTGTTGCCATGATCCTAAATTTGCATATATCTTTTTTGGATTGTAGATACCAAGGAGTAGAATTGCTGGATCATCTGGTAGATCTATTTTTAATATAAGTAGAAGTCTACCTACTGCTTTACAGAGAGGCTAGTCCAATTTACATTTCTATCAAAAGTACAAGAAAGTTTTTTTTATTTACACCTTTCCCCAAAATATTCTGCTGGAGATACATAAGTAAAGTAAAGTAAAGGCCCTCCCGTTGATTATCGATTTGCTCGAGCAGGCCCAGTAAAGTCTCCATTGGAGACTTTGTTGTTACTGTGTCTGGCACATCGAATACTCTCGGTAGCTTGCCGGGCTCTCCGAGAGGGGCGGAGGAATCGAACTCGGGTCGGCCATGTTGGCTGCGTGCAAGGCAAACGCCCTACCGCCGTGCTACATACATGCCTAAGTAATTCAACATCCTACCTTGCCACTCACAACCAGTTCTTTCCTGCTTTGGGATTCCCCAAAGGCAGTCAGTCCAGACTTTCTAAATGTTAAAGTGGTGTACTGCGAGGGAGGAGTATTTGAAAAAACCTCTAACATTCTAAACAGACTTCAAACTATATTTGTTAATTAATTGAAATTACCTACAGAGAAGTGGTAGATTTTCATGTCCCTTTTATTGTTATGCTTGAAGTTCAAATAAAAACTTGGCTTTTGTCACACCTTGCCAGCACCCAAATTTTACCTCCTCCCTTCATCCTGTCACCTCAGTTTGTTCTCAGATTTCATCTTTCTCTGCACTAGTTTTGTTTATTTGCTATTGGTTGTCTTGATGGTTTTTTGTTTACCAATAAAATAAACACATCTGTCATGTTATACCTTAATTTTCTACTCTTATTTTCCTTTTTTATTTTTTAAACTTTAGATACCTAATTGATTGAAGCCATTTTATTTTAACATATTGAAGTAATTAAGTTGCAAAAACCCTATATATGTATCTACTATGCATAACTTGATAAAAAAAAAAGGCCCTCCCGTCGATCATCGATTTGCTCGAGCGGGCCCAGTAACGTCTCCATTGGAGACTTTGTTGTTACTGTGTTTGGCATATGGAATACGTCACGGGGAGCTTGCCAGGCGCTGCCGTGCGGGCGAGATACTCTCGGTAGCTTGCCGGGCTCTCCGAGAGGGGCGGAGGAATCGAACTCGGGTCGGCCATGTTGGCTGTGTGCAAGGCAAATGCCCTACCGCTGTGCTGATATATTTGCTTTTGCTTATATTTAGGTATATGCTTACCCAAATGTGTATGTGAAATCTTCCATCTCTATAACCTCAAAGAGTTTTCTGCTGTCCTTACCTTTTGATGTGTGTGTACTGAGAAAGGGATGGAGCAACAGCACAGAGGATAGGGAGTTTGCCACGCCCTAGAGGATAGGGCGTGGCCGACCAGGTCAACCCGAGTTCTATTCCTCTGCCCCTCTTGGAGAGCCGGGCGAGCTACTGAGAGTATCTCGCCTGCAAGGCAAAGTCTGGCAAGCTATCCGTGACGTGTTCAATATGCCAAGCACAGTAACAAGTCTCACAATGGAGACGTTACTGGGCCCACTCCAGCAAATCAGTGAACAATGGGAGGACAGTGCAGTGTAGTATTGAGA